TAACAACTGGCCATAATAAGACACTGGCGCCCAATTTTGGATTTATGTTAGTAAAAACACGTAAGTATTGAGAAACAACATTTGCCCATCGACCCATCTCACCACTGTAAAGCTGCCGTTCGCCATAGCCCTCGAGTTGAGGTTACACAAAATGACGCCTTGAACGTGGGGCCTCAAATGTTGTTTCTTGATCTTATGTTTTATAATTTTTTTATTACGGAGTGTGGTGATGTATGTGTTTTTGCTGTTTTCGTTAAAACCTGTGTACTGAGCTGCACCTTGGTTTTCGTATGTATTGTATCGTAATGTTTTGTACCTTTTGTATCTTTGAGTATGTACTACTGTAGGTAGTTTAGAAATTTAGCTATGAGTTATACAATAATTTGAATAATTTCGAGAATGATCTTGCACCAAACGAAACCGACTAACTATTTTGTGCTTTTTGCTGGTTATTTTTTATCTTTATAATTTTTTATAAGCAAGAGTTTAGCAAATAGGTACTTACTTGAGGCGGACCTTTTTGTTCAAAACAAATGGTCAAAGTTTTAATGCATCATGTTAGAGTATTTTGTCGATTTCGTTTGAAAAGGTTAAGAAAAATAATTATTTAATTATAATAATTATTATTATACGTTTTATGGAAATTTTTTATTGTATAAATCCTGTTATATCTCGAGATAATAGAGAATCATGGTTGTTTTTAGTAATTTTTTTATATTAACCATGTTTCTAAATTATTCAGTATCGGAGCGTGAACTGCTCGTATCGGTGTAACTCATAGCTAACAAAAGTTTCATTTCATTATAGAGTAGGTCATTTTAAAAATTTTTTGCTTTGTGGACCTTTCTATAATATTATCGTACCGTATCGAATAGTAAGTCTTACTAGTGACTTACTATTATCTTTTTGCACCTAACTGGTGGTTATGGTCAAGTCTTACCGGAGACTTGTTTTTGTCGTTGCGCACCTTATTGGTGAGGCACCGATGTCGACATACTTGTGGAGCAAGACATGCTCATGAGTATTTTGTATATAAATATCTAGATTTGTTTTTGTCATCTTTAAGTTAGGTTAAGTTATGTCTAAATTTCCGTGTATGTGGTAACTCAAATTCCCTTTTTCTACTTCTTGAAGAAGTTATTCCCCCACTTTATGTTTAATGCTATAGACCCCTCTGGCTTAAGTAAATACCGATTTTGACATTTACCGATTTTGACATTTACCGATTTTGACATTTATGAATTTTGACCCTTTTAGGCGTTTGATATGCGTTAATTATCACCTAGCATAAAACTTGTCTCTATCTTTAAGATTTTCTTAAAGTATTTCAGGACTTTTCCGTCAGGCCAACAATTGTTGCTACGATATTCATTGCGAGATCGTACGGCCTGTAGCTAAAACCCATCCAAGTGGTGATGGAACAACATCTTGCTAAACACCACATACTGAGTTACCACGAGTTATACCGTTTGGTATAATAGCCGTTTGGCTGTGTACGTTTATAGTAAAAATGATTACTATAAAACCAAATTTTGATTTTGGACATTCGAGGTTTTCGATTGTCCCTTCGATAATGTATTGCTACATTTTTGGCATTCGTTGGAGGGCTGGCCTGTTTCAGACACAGGACTACCGGTTGCCTCCCTTTTTTTGTTGTAGGACGAGTTCCTAACTTTACTAGGTTTGTCAGGATCCTTCCTCTTCAAGGAGAATTTGCTTTTCATTTAAATTTACATTTCTGACGTTTTACTTGCTTATGGTTTAGAGGCGTAGCATGACCAGCGGTCTGCTTCGTTCCTCCTCTATATCTGTCACAATTTAACTTTTACTTTTTTTTTTTGGTCTATGTTAACTCGCACATTCTAATTTTTTTTGGTTTGGATTTATTTGAGGTAATTTTGTTTTTGATCCAAATAGTTTAAATAATAAAAAAAATACTTCTTATTTTTTTTATTTATTTTTTTTGGAGAGGGGCAATTGTGTAACCGTCATTTTGACAGCTACACATTTATTTTATTTTATTAGTTTTTTTTACATCTAGAACGGTATGGATGTACACGGTTAAGTATTTTATTTTTAGTTTTACTAATTGTTAAGTATAATTTTAACAAGGATAATTGTTTAGTTCTTTAAATGCCTCTTTCCAAGAAAATCTATTAGTTTTATTGGAATTCCTTTTACTGACACATGAATAGCATTGCCGGTATTTGAAACTCTTTTTAAGCCAGTTCTTTTAATTTTATTCAAAAACGGTAATTTGATAGTATGGAACACAAACACTTCCGTGTGAGGTTGGTTGTATGTAGTTATAATGATAATTATAATTAATATATTCATTTTGGTAGCTGGTTTGCCGTTATTGACAATTTAGTGTCAGTGGAGGGAATTTTCCAAATGATTGCGTTTAGGAGGGTATGTATTTGGGTTTTTGGGTATGTTACTAGGGTTTACTAAGGGAGTATTTGTGTTTGAGGCTTAGGTTCTGGTGGACTTTGTGGGAAATCTTTTTGAAAATGTTTGTTAACATAGGCAACATTGTGTTTTTTTTGTTTAAATAATCTTCTACGCACTTAATAAGGTTTACAATTTCTTTTTCGATTTGGTTGTTGAAGCGATTAGATGAGAGTTAAGTTTGTGCTTAAATTATGGAAAATTTCCAAAAATACGTGGTAAATCTCTCAATCTAATTGTATAATTCCGACCAAGACAATTTTCGTTTGGTACGATGAGCTCTGGGTGAGTTTTTGACCTGTTGCTGAAATTAAATGTTTTATCCACGAGGTTCTCCATTTTAGGGTTGTGTTATTCCCTCATTTTTGGTCTTTATGCAGTCCTGACGTTGTATAGTTGTAAAAACTTCTTTAAACAAGGGTAAGTTAGGCGGTTAATAGTTTTTTTAGATGCTTGGGCATCATACCATATTTTTTTTTAGGGTTTTTATGTTGGAGTTTTTTGTAAGACTTTTTATGTCAGATTTGTTGTAAAGGAATGGTTTTTTACCCTGAACTTGTTTTGGATAATGGCAAGTTCTTACGTTATTTAAAAGCCATCCTGTATAATCTGACATGGTAGGAGACTTCAACATCGGAAGCCAACCCATTCGGAGACACAGTCTACCAGGGCCCCAACTATGAACAGGTCGTACCGTTTTAGAATATTAATGTTCACGTACACTACACTCCTTATAATATATTATGTTTGTGTACTTTTAAGTTGAGAGTTCAAAATAGTTATTTTAAGTATATATATATTTTTTGTAGCATCGATCATATTTTGTCAGTTATCAGACTTTGGTTTTTGTAAACCATATATGGCCATATAAGGGTGCACCAAAATATTTATTATTACATGCAAAGTGATCATTTTAACATCGGTGAACAAATATAACTGTTTTATATATTTTTTAAAAAACTTGACTTTTAATAACCACCCTTAGTCTTTAGTAAGATTGTGTCTGACTTACTTAGATTTTAACAACTGGCCATAATAAGACACTGGCGCCCAATTTTGGATTTATGTTAGTAAAAACACGTAAGTATTGAGAAACTATGGAACGCCGTTGTATTTTTAATCAGGAATTTTTGTTGCAACCCCAACTGCTAGTCATATTTTTAATTGTATCGATTATTTTAAACAATATTTATAATTCAACTAATTTTATACTAAAAAATAATGTGGAATTAAAAATATCAAAGTGACACTAAAATTAAAGTCAATTTTTAATTCAAAGTGATATTTGTAATTCACAGGAATTATCGATATCAAAGTGACCAGAAAATTCAAGTTAATTTTTAATTCAAACTGATATTCATAATTCGCCTGAATTATAAATATCAACTTGAATTTTTAATTCAACTTATTTTCAACTAAAAAATGATGTAGAATTAAAATATTAAAGGGAAACTAAGAATTATTTGATATTTTTAAATGAAAGACATATTTTTAATTCCTACAGTTTGGACACCCCTGGTAATCTTGACGGTTCAATTTATCTACTACAGTAGGTATATTTGCTTTAATCTCAGCATTGAGTAAAGAAGTTCTATACTCAATGATCTCAGTTAAATTATTTTGCGGCAAATTACCTAATATTTAAAATATCAGGTAATTTAATTAATTATGCCTATTATTAATAAAAACGGTATTATATAAACAAACAGTGCCGCAAAATAATTTAACTGAGATTAAAGCTACTGTAGTAGATAAATTGAACCGTCAACATTACCAGGGGTGTCCAAACTGTGGGAATTAAAAATATGTCTTTCATTTAAAAATATCAAATAATTCTTAGTTTCCCTTTAATATTTTAATTCTACATCATTTTTTAGTTGAAAATAAGTTGAATTAAAAATTCAAGTGGATATTTATAATTCATGCGAATTATGAATATCAGTTTGAATTAAAAATTAACTTGAATTTTCTGGTCACTTTGATATCGATAATTCCTGTGAATTACAAATATCACTTTGAATTAAAAATGTACTTTAATTTTAAGGTCACTTTGATATTTTTAATTCCACATTATTTTTGAGTTTAAAATTAGTTGGATTATAAATATTGTTTAAAACAGTTGACACAATTAATTGTAATTACAAATATGACTATTAGTTAAAGTTACAACAAAAATTCCTTATTAAAAAATATTTTGGCGTTAACGGAACGCCAAAGTACTTTTTAATACCTATAATTTTAGATATCTGAAATTAATTTCAGATATCTGAAATTCTAAAGTGATATTAGAAATTCCTGATTAAAAAATACAACGGCGTTCCATAAGAAACAACATTTGCCCATCGACCCATCTCACCACTGTAAAGCTGCCGTTCGCCATAGCCCTCGAGTTGAGGTTACAAAATTATATCAACCAATTTACATTTTAGATGATTTTATTGGCCAAAAAATAAATCTAGTAAACCATGACTATGATTAAAAGCAAATGTCAAATAAATCTGTATGACATTTTAATTGTTTTATGTCTAATTTGGCTAACTAAAATGGCGGGCGAAGATGGTCGTGAGTGCGATGCCAAAGAAAATGCATCCAAGGTGGATTAATGTGTGTTATATGTGGCCGAACTAGCCACAAAGGCTGTGTGAAGCAATTGAAATCAGTACAGATCGTAAACGACAAAGAAATCAAGTGTTGTGAAGGAATTCAAGACAATGACGCGAGTTTTTCAAGTGCATACGATTCGTCAGAGGACACCAAATCGATGGAAATCGGGTACTTAAAACTCATAATAGAGCAAAAAGACACAACGATTAAGGATTTAAGAGAATTTATCTCCACATTAAATAGACAAATTGATCTATTAAATAGATTAGTAGACAACCATAGGGAGACATCTATGGACAAAAAAGTGCAGGAAACCGTGATAAATACACCGGCGTCCTCTACCGGACAGAAGCCAAAGCTTCAATCAACTACCCAAACGGCCACTAGGAGCGCTTCATCAAACCCGAACGCTGCAATTAAAAACAAAACAAATGATGCTGCCATAACCGCACAAACAAAAAAGGTTAAAAATACTAAAAAATATACCTAAAATAACAAATAATGAGGTAAAACAGACCATCGAACAAGCAACGATGAAATCAGTTATTACCCTAGAAGACGAAGCACCTTTTACTAAGGTTACATACAAAAAGAAGCCCAAAAACTTAAACAAAAACAAACCTATTATAGGGAACAAACAGTCAAACTTAAAGGCAGCCGGTAATCAAATATACCTACATGTCTATAAACTAGACCCAGAAACTAGTGAAGAGAGACTTAAACAGATAATCGAACCTACATTTCCCGAAGCTCTTGTTGAAAAATTGAACTCTATGCATCCCAGCTTTTATTTATCATTCAAAGTAACAATTGGTGAAGAATACCTTGATAAGGCCTATAAACCTGAGTCATGGCCCAGAGGCGCATGGATAAATAGGTTTTTTCACAGGAAGAAAAAAATAAGTCACACGGATTAACGTATACTCATACAGCAAGAAAAATTGAGGTGCTGTCCCTAAATATACGTAGTATTAGACAAAAACTACATGAAACTGAAGTACTGCTGAAAGAAAATGAGGTGGATATTTTTTGTGTTTGTGAAGTTAGACTTCTCCAAGAAGAAATTGAATTTTTTAAGTTAAATGGTTACACCCTGGCCAACAACTATAGCCGCCCTGATATGGGTGGTGGTGGGGTTGCAATATTTCATCGTTGTGATTTTCCAGTGAAAAGGGTTAAATGTAAAACAAAGAATACAAACCAAATTTTTGAATATTGTGTTGTGAGTTTCGGCACTAGGGGTGAAGGCTGTGCTGTAGTCTCCATATATCACACCAAAAAAAGAAGGAAAGAGGAGAGGTGACTCAAAAACCTGACATGGATAAAGAAAATGAGGAGTCTGAAAACAAACATTTTCTTACTAGTTTAGAAAGCTTACTTAACGAGGTATGTAGATATAAGAGAGTAATACTAGCAGGGGATTTTAATATAGATATTTTTGAAAAAAATTGTTTTGTACAAGAATACCTTGATCTTTTACGTAGTTTTAAGCTACAACCTAATATACATACACCTACAAGATTTTGCCCCACTAAGGCTTCTCTAATTGACAATATTTTTACCAATTTCAACCCAATAGAGGCCGGTACACTTAAAGTTGGCTTTTCTGACCACTTAGCCTGCAGAATCTCCATGCTAGATCCTACAGATAATAAGAAACAAGATAAAAACTACATAGTTTTTTAGATTTTAATATAAATAAATTTAAATGTTACATTTCTAGGGAGGACTGGAGCAGGGTTCTTATGCTTGAAAACACTCAGGCTTCTTTTGATGCATTTTACACTTTATTCCAGAACTACTTTGAAATATGTTTTCCAAAGGAAAAAGTTACAATAAAGGAGCCAAGGAAAGTTAATTCTTGGATGACACCAGAGATAAAAAAGCAGTCTAAAGATCTTAAAGATTTAAACTGGCTCAAAAATGTTACTAATAACCATATAATTGCGAGCAGATATAAGGCACTACAAATTATCCACAGGAAAACTATTGCCAGAGCCAAATATCAATTTAATGATAATATTATCAAAACCAGCAAAAATCCATCAAGGGCAGCCTGGGCGGTTTCAAAGGGTGGTAAAACTAAAAATCTTAAAAACAGCTTTTCTTTGGAAATGGATGGAAAACTCATATCAGACCCACTAAAAGTAAGTAATTTTTTTAATGAAAAGTTTCTGGACACTCCTCGGGTTCCGCCCAAGTCCACGACATATAACGAAATCATCAATGCTTGCAAGTTTCCTAGGCATTCACTATTTTTACATCCTGCTGACAGAGAGGAAGTCTTGGCAACCCTTTTCTCAGTTTCCAGGAAATCATCAGCAGGCGAGGATGAGATCCCGTGCAGTCTACTTCGCGAGGTGGGTGCGTTTTTGGTAGATCCCCTTGAACATATCTTAAATTTGTCGCTTTTTGAAGGAGAGTTTCCAAACGTTCTTAAAAACTCAAGAATCATCCCTATTTATAAAAAGGGCGACAGCGCAGTCGCGAGTAACTATAGGCCAGTCGCCACACTGTCGGTTTTCTCTAAATTCTTTGAAAAGATAATAAACAATAGAATCAAAATTTTCTTAAATAATATAAATTTTTTTAGCAAGAGCCAACATGGTTTCTTAGATGGAAAATCAACAGAAACTGCCTTACACGACTCATTCTCCTTTATTCTAAGTGGACTTGACAAGGGCTGTGCAACCTTAGGTATTTGACCTGAGTAGGGCCTTTGACTTGGTTAACCATTTCATCCTTGCGAGTAGACTGGAGAGCGCGGGAATTCGAGGAACAGCATTAAAATGGATAAACTCGTTTCTAACAAACCGTTCTCAAATGGTCGAGATCACAGGATTAAACGGTAACATTTTAAATTATAAATATAAATCGGCGATGGGGGAAGTCCCTTGCGGTACGCCACAAGGCTCCATACTCTCCCCTCTTCTTTTTACAATATTTTCTAATGACCTAAACAATCATTTATTAAACTCAGTTAAAATGAAACTGAAAAACAATATTAAAATTACTCAGTTTGCTGATGATACATCAGTAATAGTTATAGGAAAAAATGTGGGCGAAGCTGTGGAAATAGCCAATAAGGTGGTGGAGATTATGGTGCAGTGGTGTAGCCGCAGTGGGCTCTTGCTTAACCACACAAAAACGAGTATGATACACTATAAACTAATAAACCAACGCTCCTCCAGTCTGCTCGTAAGGATGAATGGGGAAAGTATTCACCAGAGTGACAAGACCACATTTTTGGGCACCCATGTCGCGGAGAACTGCACGTGGAACAACCATATAGATATAATTGCTAAAAAAATATGTTCAGCAAATTATGCGATATTTAATCTAAGGGAAACTGTAAGCATTGATTCACTTTTAATTTTCTATAACGCGTACAATTGGCGTCTCCGAAATGTGAACGATTTTTTGTTGTCATGGATTTTTTTCATAAAATTTATTCGTTCATTCCTGGCTTCGGCCAGTGGTGTTACATATAGAAGGGAGAATACTAAGAATAAGAACAATATCCTAAATCGTTCTATTTTTTTAATAATATTTTAACAAACAATAATATAAACAATATAACAAATAAATTAACTTTAATTTGGTTTTATACAACAATATAAATTAACAAGTAGGTAAATACACAATAAAAATAACATAACTAAATTAACATATTGGTCAAGAAAATTGGTTTTTAAGTGAAATAGCGGCAGATTTAAATGTCAGTAAAAGCTGCATATTTTATATCAAAAAACGTTGGCAAAAACAACAAAGATTGAGAAGACCTATCAGGCAAGGTGTAGGTAAAATCTCCAACGAAAATGAAGACAATGCTCTTGTCGCACTTATTAGGCAAAATCCTTTCAATAGCGCATTTAAGGCCCGAGAAGATACACAATTTCCAGGATCTCTTCGAACAGCTCAAAAAAGATTGAAACAAGCTGGCTTAAAAAACTGTGCTGCTAAGCTATTTTAATACTTAATTGCAGAGCCATTAGCTGCCACAACCCTTTGCAACCTTCTTGGCATGGACATTATTAGCTCACGCATGTCGTATGAATCAGCAAGCTCATCCCAAGAATTTTCAACAGCACTCCATAGTTCATCTCGGTTTGCTGGCCTAAAGTCCCGTTGATATATATTTTTAACTATAAAACCCCACACGTTTTCAATGGGGTTTAAGTCAGGGCTTCTAGCTGGCCATGGCAAAACAGTTATGTGGTTGTTGTTTACCCACTCTGTAACCACGCGAGCTGTGTGAACTGGTGCATTGTCCTGTAATATAATATTTATTAGAATCGTTTTTGAATACTATACAGTTTTCTTACATGTTGAAATATAAAGTTTTCTGGAAACACATGTCTAACTGAAGGTAGCATAACGTTGTCCAAAATCCTGGTATAGTGCTCAGCCGTTAATCTACCATCAATTTCCCAACATACTCCCGGACCATGGATGCTTATCCACGCCCAAACATTTATGGAAAAGCGTCCACTATTTGAGGTTTTTAATGTATAGTCCTCAAATCTTGCGTTTCTTGGACGATATACACGCAGCCTTCCATTATTGCAAGATTGGAACGTTTTTTCATCCGAAAATATAACATTATTCCAAAAATCTTCTCCATAATTTAAATAGTCATTGGCGAACTGGACTCTCCTGCGCTTATTTTCTTCAGTTAAAAAAACCTTATGAGCAGCAGCACAGTTTTTTAAACCAGCTTGTTTCAATCTTTTTTGAGCTGTTCGAAGAGATCCTGGAAATTGTGTATCTTCTCGGGCCTTAACTGCGCTATTGAAAGGATTTTGCCTAATATGTGCGACAAGAGCATTGTCTTCATTTTCGTTGGAGATTTTTCCTACACCTTGCCTGATAGGTCTTCTTAATCTTTGTTGTTCTTGCCAATGTTTTTTGATATAAAATATGCAGCTTTTACTGACATTTAAATCTGCAGCTACTTCACCTCGGTTAAGTGGGGTGGCATTTTTAATATTGCAATTGACAACTATTATCAAATTTGACAACTACCGACGACACTGATGCAAAGCCCATATTACACGATTAAATTTTGCCGTTCACATTTCGGGGACGCCAATTGTACGTTCAGAGTCGCTTATATTATGCAATTCTACTATGGGGAGGGTCGTCAGGGACTGAACGGCTACTGTTGCTGCAGAAAAAAATTGTAAGAACTATCTGCCATGAAAAATTCGACGCACACTGCAGGCCTCTATTTGTGTCATGCAGAATAATGACGGTTTATTCTCTGTACTTATATAAACTATGTTTATTTGTGAAAAAGAACGCTGACTATTTTACTACAAACGGTGAAATCAATCAGACAAGACATAATAATAATATCTCTATCCCGAAACACAGAACGGCGGCCTACGAGAAGAGCATGAGATATATGGGGATGAAAGCCTATATGCCCTTACCAACCCGTGTTAAGAACATAACAAATTATAATCAATTTCAAACCAAAATAAAACAATATTTTCTGGAAAACCCTTTTTATTCACTGGGGGAATACTTCGATGGAAATTAGCAAACCAGGAGGAAATTTTAAAACGTTCTCTTTTTATGTTTTTTTTTTCATTATAAAGTATTGTAAATGTTATTTCAATTTTA